ACTGATAGTGATTTATATGGATATGTGGTCCATACTCCCATCCTTTCTTTCTCTGATATATTGATATTCAAATTTGTTGGAGCAGGGTAAAAAGAAAAAGTATATGCAGAATTTATAAGTGAGGCTTGTCACTAGGATTCTGGTATTTACATATTTTGTTGTCAATACTGAGAAGAGTCCCTAATGTGTTCCTCCTGCTGCCAGCAGGAGGAAAGTAATACTGACTTGCTTATTATGCAGAAGCACACCCCTCTGCTCTATACGCGGCTTCATGGCTATAAATCTCTATGATCATCTAGTAACATCCCTCAGCCAGTCAGTGTACGGATATTTGCATATAGTGCAGCTGAGCAGTAACCATGCAGTCTTCATGCAAATCAAACTCTGAGACTCAGTATAGAAAGTTAAATCACTAGGGAATAAGTTTGCAGTTTCGGTTCAGTTACTGCTTGACGTTCCTGTACTTTTGAGTTCTAGAGACAATTCCATACTAGCTTGTATTTCAAGAAAGAAAATAAGCCGTGGAGAATTTCTCTCTCTCTCTGAATTCCCTCTTATGCCTTACTGCTTGGAAATATGTTTCACTTTTTCTTCAGGTAAGAGTGTAGCAAAGCAAATAAAAAACAGCTTCATGTAGAATGATTAGAATCAAGCTGAAGAATATCCATCATCATATTTCAGTTGCTGCAAGTTGCTTTTAGTTAAGAAACCAGTACAGGCATTTATTTTTTTACAAATCACACCTTTTAGTTAAGAAACCAGTACAGGCATTTTTTAAAAAGTCACATGAATGGCATGCCACATTAGAGGCAAATACTGTACCATTTTCTCATCTAACAGAATGTGGTGGTTTTTTGTTTGTTTGTTTGTGGGTTTTTTGTTTGTTTTTTGTTTGTTTTTTTCAGTTCCACACCAATGACCATTGCTAGTGTGTATAAGTCATAGGATTCTGATCAATATATTCATGATCTGCAATAATATTTAAAAGCCCTAAAGGACCACCTTCTTCCATACAAACCTGCCTGTCTTCTAAGATCAGGCCAGGAGGCCCTTCTGAAGGTGCCATCTCTGAAAGAGGTAAGGGGGATGGCATGCCAAAATAGGGCCTTGTTGGCTGTTGCCCCCTAACTTTGGAATGCCCTCCATATAGAGATCCGCCTGGCTCCAACACTTTTGGCTTTTCGGTGCCAGGCAAAGACCTTTGTGTTTAGCCTGCATTTTAATTAAATAGTATTCTTTAGCTAGCCATATGAGCAGCAGGATTTATTAATAATAATGTTTTAATGATTGTTTTTAATATAGGACATTATTATAATATTGCCTATTTTAATGGTTTTTAATGTTTTTAAAGTTTTTATATTGTTGTACGCCACTCAGAGACCACTGGTAATGGCGTGGCTAAAAAAAATCTTGTAAACAAACAAACAAATATTTTTTCTTATTGTTAGGCATGTGTGGCTAAAAAAAAATCTTGTAAACAAACAAACAAATGAACAAATACTTATTCTTTTTGTTAGGCAGTTCAATGATATTTTGGTCTTCATCTTTCCCTTATTTATTCACTACATTTATATTATTATATTTGCAAACTAGATGAAATCCTGTTCTGTAACTTACATTGTGTAAGGCTGATGATGTCGTCAATGCAGCTATTTTTCAGATAAAAAAATCTTGTAAACAAACAAACAAATGAACAAATACTTATTCTTTTTGTTAGGCAGTTCAATGATATTTTGGTCTTCATCTTTCCCTTATTTATTCACTACATTTATATTATTATATTTGCAAACTAGATGAAATCCTGTTCTGTAACTTACATTGTGTAAGGCTGATGATGTCGTCAATGCAGCTATTTTTCAGATTTTTGGGAAAAAAACCCAGTTCTATTCCTCAAGGTCCCAAGATTCTTATGAGATCTGTTTCATCATGAGGAAGCTGTTGGAAGCTACAGGAAATTCCAATGCTTAGAATGATTTTACTGGTGTTGGTGATTTTCAAGAATTAAATACTCCCCCACCCATGGCCCCCCAACAGCTTCCTCATAATGAAAAGGATCCCATGGGTGCCCTAGAACCTTCAGGGGGAATTGGATTTTATTTTATTTCCCCATGGCCCCCCAACAGCTTCCTCATAATGGAAAGGATACCATGGGTGTTTCAGAAGCTTCAGGGGGAATTAATTGGATTTGTTTTTAATTTCCAAAAAAAATCACTGCAGCCTTACACAGTATAGCTCTGTGAACAAGATTTCAGTTACTGTCTCTCAGTCAAAGTGTTCAAGGCAGTTTACAGTTTAAAATACCAAAATAAAATCATTATGAAATTAGACCACAATAAAGCTATTACAATAGGATCCTCCTTATCCATGGAATCGGAAAAATCCTAAAAATAATATATTTCTAAAGTTGAGGTTACCAGACCTGGACACTAGAGGACGCCAGAGATCATGCTATGCATAGTGTTTGCTATTAAAATGTAGCAAATTCTATAATCCACATTTTTCAGCATCCGCAGTAGGGGGGCTTGGAACTGATTCCCTGTGGATACAAGGGTCCTAATGTAAGAGGCCGTGGAGGTTTTCCTCTAAAGCTATTGCTCCACAGAGACAGAAGTAAAACTAGAGAATACAAATGGTAGTGAAACAGATTTCACCTGAACATGAGGATAAACTTCATTACAGTGATAGCCTTTCAATGGAGCTGACTAGCTTGGGACGTGGTAGACTCTTATTCACTGCAGGTTTATGAAAGAGGATGTGCAGCCAAATATCAAGGATGCTGTGGTTGTGTTCTGCCTTACAAATCCTACATGTGGCTGAAATAGATGACCACCTAGGTTTCTTTCAGCTCCAGAGATCAGTCAGAATCTGATGAGTCAACGCCTTGTAAGTTCAATTGATTCAGTGGATTTACTCTAATTGCAACTTACTACACTAAGCAACAGGATTTCAGCCATTGCCTTAGGCAGATTTTATACATGGACATACCCTTCATTGGCATGTGGTGGCACTGTGGGTTAAACCGCAGAAGCCTCTGCGCTGCAGGGTAAGAAGACCAGCAGTGGTAAGATCAAGTCCACGTGACAGAGTGAGCTACTATCACTTGTCCCAGCTCCTGCCAACCTAGAAGTTCAAAAGCATGTAAATGTGAGTAGATAAATAGGTAGCACCACAGTGGTAAGGTAACGGCATTCCGTGTCTAGTGGTGCTGGCCACATGAACACGGAAAATGTCTTGGGACAAATGCTGGCTCTACGGCTTGGAGACGGGGATGAGCACCACACCTTAGAGTCGGAGACGACTGGACTAAATGTCAAGGGGAACCTTTACCTTTACCTTACCCTTCATAATTGAAATAATTCTTTACCCTTTTGGGGTCACAGACCTGAGAAAGCTACAGGCCCCTGTGCTCAAAATCACCGTGATGGGCTGGCCTTCAAGCTGCAGCCTGACCACCTTTACCCCAGCCAGACACTGTGCTAGAAGGGCCACCACTTGTAACCCACACAAACCATAAGCAGCATAGGAGGAGGAAAAGGAGAGCTTAACCATTCTGGCAGCAGGGTGGAGAGATCCTGGATAAATGGGCATAACCAAGGAAGCCTCAAAGTGTTGGACTCCCAAACCACACACTGTCTCTGAGTAAAATGAGCTCAGGGCACAGTTGTGGAAGGGTGATAGGAATCACTCACACACTTGTCATAAAACAACTGTAGATGGAGGACATGGGACAGACAGCCCACAGTACATGAGCTACACAGAAACAGGTAGGAGATTGACACTGTACTGGTGGCTGTTAATAATAAATCCTTGTTTGTACAGTTGACTATGGACATGTAGCTCTTCGGTCAGTCCTTCATGGGCCTTTTGACACTGCTGCCTGTGGAAGACCTGGGAACAAAAACCTAGGTAGAGTTTTTTATTTATGCAAAATAATTTAGGCAACTACCAGACCAGTTAAATAGAATATTTAATTCCATTGCTTAACAAGTATATTGGCCACTGCTTTGTTTCTGGGCACAGTTTAAAGTTCTGGTTATAATTAATATACAAAGCTCTACGTGACTTGGGGACCTAACTACTGTATCTAGAATACTAAATTCTCTCATATGACCCCACCCAGGGTTTAAGATCTTCTGACACATGTAGGCAAGGCCTTCTCAGTGGCTGCTCCAAGGCTCTGGAATTCCACAACGAGGAAGGGAAGGCTAGCTGTATTTCTGTCCTTATTCCATTTCTATTCCCACCTCCAAGTAAATGCATTCTTCATTGGGCAGGCTTTTGGCATGTGAATTAATGAGCTGCTGAGGTGAGTTTAATATGGTGTCTATTTAACTAAGGTATTTTTATCTGGGTTTTTAATATTTAATGTTTAGGTTTGAATTAAGCCTGATTTATCATCCTACTGATTATAATTTCTAGGTATGATCAATAGTTGGACACCTTTAATTAAACTTTGGGAGAAGGTGGAGCAAGACAGAAAGCCCAGTTCACAATTGGTTAAAACAGAACATCCAAATTTACTCTGACTTAAACTGACTGAGGGAATCTGAAGGGAACTACTGTTCCAATGCATGTGCTTGGTGATGAGTAAGAGGAGAGTGTTTGTTCCATTTCCCCTGTGCTCAATTTCCCTCTCTGAATAAGCCAGTCACAAAATGTAGGGCCAGATATTTGTGGAAAAGGCATATAAGGAAGCATGCTATCACTTTAAAAAGTTCTTGTGTTTTTTGCTGTGGACATTTCCTTACTGCTGTATGAGAACAAATAATAAGGGCCAGAAAACATTCCATGGTGTTAACTTTCAAATATCTCCTAAACATAAGACCGTCATAACTTCTTTGTACGTTTGTTAACTTGAACCAAGAGCCCAGTCTGTTTCAGGAATTTTCAGCTCACACAATCAGACAAAGAGCTGGGGGTGGGGGTGGGGGGTGGAAGGAAGACATTCATCAAATTACAGCTGAGGGTTCCATCTGTTATCTTAAACCTTTGTTCTCAAGTAGCACAGAGAAGTGATGCTGTGAAATCCACATTGCTAAAGGCTTTATTTGAGACTGTATCTTCAAGTTGCTGGAGCAGCATCTAGGATTATTTATGCCAGCCCCACAGAAGAAAGTTGTTTTCTGCATCGCTGGGGTCCTCTCTCTTGCTTGTACACTGGGCATCGCAGCAGCTGTAGGAACTCAGCTGTGGGTCCGAGGAAGAATACTCTGCAAAACTGGAGCCCTGCTAGTCAATGCTACTGGCCAGGAACTAGATAAGTTTATTGGTGAAATCCAGTATGGACTATTCTATGGGGAAAGGGTTAGACAATGCGGGCTTGGAGGGAGACCTTTTCGGTTTTCATGTAAGTAACAAAGGCATTTGAATTATTTAATACTTCCGTGCATGCTGTCATGGTCTGAGAGATAACTGGATGAGCATTCTCTTCTTTCTTCTGAAAGATTCATAAATGGGAAATATGAAATTGTAATGCAATAATATACACCCGTGTACATTCTGTGTCAACATTTCTGTTAGTCTTACTAATATACCTTATTAGTTGAAGGAATGGATGCTGCAGCTTGATCCTATTCATACTTGTTTGAAAGTAAGTCCCAGGGCATTGAGTTTGCACATTTTAACAGCTTTTTCAAAGCATAGCTTTGCCTTCTCTTTCAGTCTTTCTAAAGTGTGTGGAGAGAGAGGAAGGGGGAACCAGTGAGAGGCAGAGCATGCAAAAACTGACAGCACAATTCTTTTCCTAGCGACTTAAAGGTAAACCCACTGAGCTCAATGGAACGTATTCCTCGATATGCATAGTATTACAGCAGAATATATAAATATCACAACAGTGTCTTATTAAAATATATTCATAAGTCCAATTGTGTTCCAGTGGGCTTCCTTCTACATGTGGATACATAAAATGCAACTTAATTGAGAAGGCACAAGTTTCACTGTGCTGCTAATCACCACTGGCTCTGACTGGCAGGTAGAGTTGCATGGAATGATAGTTTTGACATTTATCTGTTTATCTTTCAGGTGAAAATGTTTTTAAAATAGTCAGCCACACACTTGACCTGCAGAGCACCATATTAAAATAAAATCCTAGTTATCTGCATAGCAGTCTGCTTAACCAGAAGCATTTCAGAAGCAATTCTCAGAGGGAAAAGGCTTCATTTTTGAGAGCCCTTTCTGTTGCATTTCCTGTATACTGTATATGAAAATGATTGACAGAATCCTATTTTTTGCAGAGTTAGCAGACCAAGTTAATTTACATTATCATTGAGAATTGCTTCATTTAATGAAAGTCTAAAGGAGGCATCAGAAGTTTGTAAGACTACAAAAAGTTCTCGGTATTCTTTCCCCTTGCTTTCACTGTATGTTAGTACTCATCCACATTGTGGTGTTGTTGTCTGTCTCTCTAGAGTTTTTATGGGTCATACAGGTGTCTGTGGCAGATTTGAAAAGATTCTCCTGGTACTGGTGTCCATTAATGGGAAAGGTATTTGTTGCTGCATATACTGGGATACACTGGGTTATCTCAGTACTGCCTGTCCAGACAGATCCAGAATTGCTCCTTGATGATTCACTTGCCACATAGACAGCTGTACTCTTTTGCTTATCTTCTCAACCATCTTGCCATCTTGTATTTTACTTCGCTTCCCTCCTCTAGCTGTCCACCATTCTCAACTCTTCACATTTTCAGCACAAGGCTTTGCAATTTTATTTTTCATTTTCATTTTTTATTTTCACTTTTGTGCTAGGGTGCAAAGGGGATAATGCCTTTTTTAAAAAAAACAGGTGTAGGAACAGCTGGCATCTTCTCTAGGCTTGCCTTCACCTTTTTCACTTTCTCTCCCCTTCCCTCTTGGTTTACTTGCCAACTATTGTCATTCAAATGCTTTCTGGGTTTTTTAATCTTTCATTTTCACATCTATCCCATGGTACAAAAGTAAAAATATTAAAAAAATTTTTTTAAAAAAGCAGAACATAGGACCAGTGTACGTATATATTTTCTTCATTTACTTCTCCTTTCCTGTTCTCAAATCTTCAGGTTTTCACTGCAATTATTTCCATTTTTTAAAAAAAGGAGTTTTAGTTTCCACTGTTGTGCTATGGTGATAAATGATAACATTTTTCTTTCAAAAAGAAGGCAGGAGCAAATAATATCTTTTCAGCCTTCGCCCCACCTACATCTCCTTCTTTCTGCCCATCCACCATTCTCAAACCTTCACTTTTTTGCCTTTTTAAAAAGCAAAAGTGATAATGGCTGAAATCCAGTAGTAAGCCACAATTTGAGTATGCCCATTTACTCAATGGTGATTTGGTGAGTCATTTCCAACAAAGATGCCATTGATTCAATGGGTATACAGTAACACGTGACTTAACTGCTGGATTCAACCATGATTTCTTTTTTGAAAAATTAAAACAGGATTGCAGAAACAGCTGATGTCCCAAGAAAACGATTCATATCTGAAATCCTATACAATAGAATTTCAGCCTGTGGCTTGTTTAAAAAAGTAACTGTGGCAACCCCAGACCTACTGGAGTATACCACCCTGTAATTATGCTGCCACCAACCATTCCCTATAAGGAGTCACACAGACCAGGAATGGATTTTACTAAACAAAAGAACAAGGTTTATTGAAACAACAAACAGGGTACATAAAAGAATCAGGTAAATAGGATAATGTAACGTGGCATAACCCCAATCATACACACACAACAGATTGGTTCCCACAGAACACTTTAAGGTAACGCACAGACCCTGAACCTATCAGTTCTGGCTACCTAAATAGAAACCTGAACCTATCAGGTATGTACTAACTGACACACAGTTGTACCCAGTCTGACACACAGACTCCAACTCCTCTTCTCCACACAAGCTCCAAATATATATACAGTACAGCTCCTCCCCCCTGATGTCCCGCCTTCCACTCCCCATAGGATGGAACTTTCCCTCCAAACCCATGACAGACAGGTACCATCAGTGCTGTATGTGACACCTCCCCTCTTTATAAGTTGTTTTGC